TGTGTTTGTGTGTGTGTGTGTGTGTTTAGTGTGTTTGTGTGTGTGTGTGTGTGTGTGAGAGAGAGAGAGAGAGAGAGAGAGAGAAAGAGAGAGAGACAGAGACAGAGAGAGACAGAGAGACAGAGAGACAGAGAGAGACAGAATATGTAAAGAATTTATTGTGGATAGAACTAGCTGTGGAAACAATGACATATTTCTGGAATGTGTTAGGTGTTGTTTGAAGATTATCTCTTCCTCTTCCTCCTCCTCCTCCTCCTCCCCCCATCCTCTTCTTCTTCCTCGTCCCCCTCCTCTTCTTTTTCTTCCTCTTTCTTCTCCTCCTCCTCTTCTTCTTCCTCTTCTTCCTCTTCCTCATCCTCTTCCTCTTCTTTCTCCTTCTATTCCTCAATCTTTCTCCTTCTTTCTTCCTCTTCCTTCTCTTCTTTCTCCTACTTTTCAATCTTCCTTTTCCTCTTTTTTCCTTCTCCTATTCCTCAATCTTTATCCTCTTCCCCCTCCTCTTCCTCCCCCTCCCCCTCCTCATGTAATTGTAAATGTTAGTTACTTTCAATGAAGTTCATTCTTCTATTTCAAGAGTCAACTATCCCTCCATCAAAATTAGGTACTGACAGAATAGTGGCTGGCTAGCCAGGAAAAAAAAATCTTTTTCTTTTCTTTCTTTTTTTTAACGTTAGGTTTTTTTCAAAGCGAAGAAAAATATTTTGCTGTTCAGAGTGCTCGGGCTGCCTCTGTGATCAAACAGCTTGAAACTTGACTGAACACAACAGCCACTGTTTTCTGGGGATCCTGGGCTTCTAAATAGTGACACTCAAAACATTTTCATCTTTGAAAACAGCTTCTCTTAGATTGGAAGCACCGAGCAGTTTATAGCGGCAACATGATCTCGTCGTTCTGTCTTGTTCACTTTGCATTTCATAAGGGGGAAAATAATAATAAATGCAGGCAACATGAAACAAGTTTTGTCACAGCATGGCAGAGAAAGAAACAGTCACCCCAGCACAATTTATGCAATAGATCTTTTAGAGAAAAATTTATGGAGAATTGGGTGCCCTATGGCTTGCAGTTCTCACAGTCATTATTGTGCTCGTTGTTATCTGTGCCTACCAAATATATTCATTCTTGTTTTCTGTCTGACAAGGGGTTAGGAGAAAAACCACCCCTGTTATTAAAGAATTATACTTACAAAATACTTATGGGACAATTTATGGAAGTGTTGCTCAAGAAGGACACTGAAAAAGTGTTAAAGAACACAAGGAAGGTTTTGAACAA